CCAACGACGTCTTCAACTCTCTGCAAGAGAAGGCTGATGAGGAGGTCGTAGAAGAAGGCGGTCAAAACCAAATTGGTCAAGGGACGCATATCAATGCGATCACCGTGGTGGACTTGGAGGAGACCCCTATCGGAGCCGGGGACGAATTTACTGACCTTCCCTTTCTCCTAGTTTAAATTTATGCTTTTTCTTGTTTTCTTTTGGAAGTCATTTGTAACCGGGTTGCTTGCCCCAACCTTGTACATTAATTCGCAATCAATGAAATTTTTTCAACTTTTGTGCCGCTTGTACTCTTGCAATGTATGTTGTGTCTTCATTACAACCGTGCTATATACTTGAACAAAGCATCCATTCATGTAACCAGGTAAATCATCTTGGTCATGATAGAAGTTGAACAAAACAACATTCTCGGCTGGGCAAAACAGTTTTCTAAGTGTTAGCCGGGCAAAAGACCTCGGCTAAACACTTAGAGTGGGATTAGACACTCGAAACTGACCAAGTCATCAACTAGTCTAGCCGGATAAAACACCTCGGCTTAACATTTGGAGTCGATTAGTTTTCCAACTCATATTGCCGGGCAAAACTCATTGGCTTGACATTAGGAGTTGAACAAAAGTTGGATAAAAGTTGAACAATTCGCCAACGCTACTAACCGAGCAAAATCATCTTAGATAAAAGCCTAGAGTTGAATAATTCATCAACACCAAAGACTGAGCAAAATCATCTAGGCTATAAGCCTAGGGTTGAACAATTCATCAACTCTAAAGATCAAGCGAAATCATCTCGACTAAAAGCTTAGAGTTGAACAATTCATCAACTCTCTCATCCGAGCAAAAATCACCTCGGCTAAATGTCTAGAGTTGAATAATTCATCAACTCTGATGGCTGAGCAAAATTATCTCACCCAAAAGCCTGGAGTTGAACAATTCATCAACTCTTTTAACTGGGCAAAATTACCTCGGTTATAGCTTTGAGTTGAACAATTCATCAACTTTTTTGACTGGGTAAAATCACCTCGGTTGGGAAACAGTTGCCCCTTGTCCATTGCAATCCATTAATCACGACAAATTTTCTATGTACAGTAATTCATTTCTATTACATACAGCTTGTATAAATTCACATGGTGACTGAAAAGAAACATATTGGCACATGGAGGGAAATGCTTGTCCCTTGCAAAAAATTACATCAAAGATTGAAACTAAAAATAATATAACTTCAAATTGGCCGCGTTCTATGGCCGGGGTATTGCTTTGCTGTTTAAATCCTCTAGATGGTATGTCCTTTTGCCCACCAAACCGATTATCTTGTAAGGTCCTTCCCAGTTTGCCCTTAGCTTCCCTTCGCCCGGCACAAGAGTGTTGCCCATCACCTTCCTTAGGACCCAATCCCTGACTTTAAACTGTCTGGGGTAAATTGTTTTGTTATACTTTTTGGATTATTGTGTGCTGTGACATGGATTAACGCCTTTTCTCGGTGTTCTTCTGCAAGGTCCAATTTTAGAGCAATGGCTTCGGCATTTAAGTCTGGCTCAAAATTTTCACTGCGGATGGTAGGCATGTCGATCTCCAGTGGGATGACCGCCTCCATGCCATATGCCAAAGCGAATGGTGTCTCACCGGTTGAGCATCTTGGCGTAGTTCGATAGGCCCAGAGGACATTTGAAAGTTCCTCAGTCCACTTCCCTTTGGCCTTTTCCAGCCTCTTTTTTAACCCGTCCAGAATTGTTTTATTTGATGCTTCTGCTTGGCCATTCGATTGTGGGTAAGCCGGCGTTAAGTTGTAGAACTCTATCTTTAGCTCTTCGCAGAATCCTCTTAACATTCTTCCATCAAATTAGGTGCCATTATCAGAGATTAAAGTTTTGGGGATCCTAAACCGCGTTACCACATTCTGCCAGAAAATTTTTTTCACATCATTTTCCTTAATTGTGGCCAAGGGCTCGACTTCGACCCATTTGGTGAAGTAGTCTGTCGCTGCTATGAAAAACTTGCGATTGCGTGGCGCGGTTGGGAATGGTCTAACTATGTCAAGCCCCCACATTGCGAAAGGCCAAGGACTTGTGCGAGAAATAAGCACTCTGGCTGGCTGATGAATTTGGTGGGCGAACTTCTGGCACTTCTTGTATTTTTGTGCATCTGCCTGCATGCATGGCCACCAGTATTCTTGCGAAATAGCGCGGTAGGCTAGAGATCTCTTGCCGATGTGACTCACACACATTTCTTCATGGGTCTCAAAAAGAAAAGCATTGACTTTGTTTGGGTGAACGCACTTGAGATATGGACCGGTGAATGACTTCTTATACAAAACGTCGGATGGAGAAAGCCAAAATCACCCAGACTTTACCCGGACTTTGTGTGCCTCTTTCTTGTCGGTCGGCAGGATTCTTTCTTTAAGGAAAAGGATGATAGAGTCCATCCAAGAAGGACCTAGCTCGGTGCAGAGAATTTCTGTCTGCTCTGAGTCTTCAATGTTAGGTCTTAGAAGGAATTCAATCAGGAAAGGGCTGGGGATTGATTTGTCGGCCATGGAATCCAAACCAGCCAACTCATCTACCCGGCCGTTATCTTCTCGACCAATTTGTTGGACTCTTATAGCTTGGAATTTCTTGATTTGCTTTCTCACCAGAGTTTGGTATTGGCCATTCTGTCACCGTTGGCTTCGTATTCTCCACATACTTGGTTTACAATGAGTTAGGAGTCACTGTAGACCATAAGCTCGGATGCTTGCATTTGGAGCGCGTTTTTTAGTCCGATAAGCAGCGCTTTGTACTCAGTCTCGTCGTTTGACGCAAGATATCCCAGCGTGATGGAATGTTCAATAATCAGTCCATCTGGTAAGATCAAGACTACTCCTAGCCCGGCTCCATGCCTATTTGAAGCGTCATCGACCAAAAGTTTCCATATTTTGCCGATGAAAAGCTTTCAACATTCTGTGGGGTCTTGGGACATTTGAAGGTTCAGGTGATCAGGGTTGCTCGGCTGCTTGGCTATTTCCGCAGCAAGTACACCATTGTTGATTGTAATTTGCACGCCTTCATTCTCCCTTGGCGATGTAGTGTTAGATCCCACAGGTCGCCCCATCATTCCCAAATCCACCAATACATTGCCAAGAGGTGGTTGTTCTTCAAGTGGTGGATCTCTACTCAAGCGCGCAATTTCCACGTCGCCTTCTGCGCTTCACTCAGTGGAAGCATTTATTTGGATCGCAGTAGGAGATAGCTGTACAATTTCTGCTATGCCTGTCCCCTTTAGCTCGGTTGCATCGGTAAGGTCTACCAGACATACAGGGTGAGTTCTAGGTGAAAATTCTGTGATGAAGTCTGCCAATGTCTGAGCCTTGATGGCGGTCCTCCGTTGAAATTTGATGTCGAATTTCCCCCGCTTAAACAAGGCTTTTAAAGGGAACTCGGTCAGCACCACAATCGTGTAAGCATGAAAGTAATGTGTCAATTTTCTTGAGGCCATCATTAGTGCCAAAGCAAGTTTCTCTAGTGGCAAGTATCACGACTCTGTCGGGAGTAAGGTTCTTCTAACATAAAAGATCGGCAAGTGTTGTATGCCCTTCGCTCTCACCAGCACTGCGCTGACCACATGCTAGGAAACGGCCAGGTAGAGGTAGAGCTCTTCGCCCTGCTTGGACGTGACAAGAAGTGGGGCGAAGGATAGGTACGTCTTCAGTTCGACTAATGCATTGTCACATTATGCATCCCACGAAAACTTCGATTTCAAGGCTTGGAAGAAAGGGCGACAACGATCTGACGACCGACTTATAAATCGATTAAGTGCGACTGCCATTCCGGCAAGATGTTGCACGTCCTTTGCCGAGTTGGGTTGTTCCAATTCTTGGATGGCTTTGATTTGAAAGGGATCCGCTTCATTCCCGTAATTAGTGACCTGAAAACCCAAAAACTTCCCTGACCCCATGTCGAAAGCACAATTGGATGTGTTCAAACGCAACTTGTGTCGTTTGAGAATGGCGAACATCTTTGTTAAGTCGGCCAAGTGGTCGGTCTCACATTTACTCTTCACAACCATGTCGTTGATGTAGGCTTCCATCATTTGGCCGAACAAAGGGGCGAACATCTCCGTAACCATCTATTGAAAGGTTACTCCGGCGTTCTTCAATTCTAAGGGCATAACTCTGTAACATAACAATCCTCTCGGGGTTGTGAAAGAAGTGATCTCTTGGTCGAGCTCATGTATGGCAATCTGGTGGTGGTGGTAGTGATGGTAGGTGTCGAAAAAACTACGTCAGTTATGACTGGCTGTTAGGTCCACAAGGTGGTCGATTCTGGGCAGAGGGAAACTGTCTTTAGGGCAAACATGGTTGATCGTCTTGTAGTCGGCACAAACTCGCCATTTCCTATTCTTTTTCAGCACTACGACCGTGTTGGAAACCCACCATGGATAATGTGCTTCTAGGATAACCCTTGCTTCAAGTAGGTTCTTCATTTCTTCTGCCACCACCTTGGCGTGATGAAGCGCTAACCTTCACGTTCATTAAACGATTGGCCGGGCATCAGGAAAAACATTGAGTCAGTGGCTAATGAGGTTTGGATCGATGCCAGACATGTCGTAAGGCGTCTAAGCAAAAACTTCAATGTTCACCACTAAAAAATTCACCATCTCTAATCGTTCTTGAGCGGTAAGGGTGGATCTTAACAGAAAAAACTTCTCAGGATCATTCTTGTTGATTCGTACTTCCACTAGGTCTTCGATAGCTTTTTCCTCAACTTTGGTGCCCACGTCTTCCAGGACATTTTGATCTTTCGGTCCTTCGACCATTTATACAAAGCCTTTGGCAGCTCGATTTCTGTTTACGGCCACGAAACATTGCTTGGCTAGTACTTGATTGCTTCAAACTTCTTCTATCATGCCAGTAGTAGAGGGAAACCTCATGACTTTGTAGAAAGTCGATACTATCGCTTACATGGCATGAAGCCATCCTCTGCCTAGGATCAGGTTATATATGGCGGGTGCCTTCAACACCCAGAACTCCACCTATTTGACGACGGTCCCCGCTTTAACCGGTAGGATGATCTTGCTTACTGGCCATTCCGGCTGCAAGTTGAAACCAACCAGCGGCGATGTTGCTGAGGCCAAATCTTTCTCTTCGAGCTTGAGCTGCTTGAAGGCGCTGTAATAGATTATTTCAACCGAGCTGCCCTGGTCGATCAGAATGTGTCTAATATCAAAGTCCCTGACGTGAAGCGTGACCACCGACGCATCATTGTGCGGTGTTTGAATATGTTCAAGATCTCGGCTTGAAAAGCTGAGCACATCTTTCGCCTTGATTTTGCCATTTTTAATCGCAGGCTGGACTGACAAGACTTCCATCATATGCTCTACTTTTTTTATCATCCCTCGGAGCTCGCACACTCGTGTTGGCTCGACGATACCATGGATCACATTTACCACACCTTGGGGGGACGCTTTTAGGGTGGCCAAACCGTTGGGTTCAACTTGAGCATGAGGTGCGGCCTTAGCGCCGCTATCTATATAGCGATCTAGGTGCCCGGCAGCCACCAGCTCCTTTAGATGCTGCTTCAAAGGGACGCAATCTTCTGTGCGGTGGCCATGTTCACCATGGTAGGTGTAACGGTATCTCGGATTGAAGCCTCTCTGTGCATCACCTAACTTACCTGGAAACTGGACATATGCCTTGTCATGGATTTCGCTAAGGATACAATAAATTGGGATCTTGAAAACCGTAGTGATGCCTGTTCGGGAGTTTAACTTTCTTCTTACATCTTCCGTGGTATCACAGGGGTAGTCATCTCGGTCGTTGCGACGACCCTTACCCCGGTTGTTGCGATTTGCACCGCGATTTGAATCTCTATCATGGTTGCTCGGACGGTTTGCCTCCTATCTAATCGTGTGGACCTTTTTGGCCACTCTTTTGTCCGATGCCACTAGATTTACCTTCGCGGTAGCTGCAGCGGCATCATCCTCAATTTGGATGTGTTCATTGATGCGCTGCATCAATAATTCCATGGTCATCAGTTGATTCATAGTGAGTGAGTCTCGAAGTCTATATCTGACTAGAAGACCGCGCTTGTATTGCGTGATCTCCAAGTTGGTCCAGCAGTCAAGGATTTCGTTGAAAGTTTCCCAATACGTGGCGTTGTACGCCTTGAGTGAGTTGCCCGGTTCCATCTTGACGCTCAGAAGACGGTCTACTTCTTTGGGTGTTTTGGTGTTTCTCTTGAATCGGGTCACGAACGCCTCCGCCAGTTGCTGCCACCTTTCGATACTTTCCTCCAGCATCCTCTCGAACCATTTCAGGCCCAACTCATCCAAACTTGACGGAAAAATAAGGCACGTAAGTGCGTTATTCCGCCTGTAGCTAGCCATGACCTGTTGAAAGTAGCTCACATGCATGTATGGATCGATTTTTTCGTCATAGAGTGTATACTTGGACTGATGAAAGCCCACAGAAAGTGGCGAGGTTTCTATCTAGAGGGAGAAAGGGGTGGCCCTCAGCCTCGCCAAGTCTCTGTCCAAAGGGATATGTACAACTGGGCGTGGTGGCAGCATTATGAGTTCTTCACTAGCGCGACCTCCGTGGGATAACCACTGCAGTGCCGGCACCTTTTGCGCCTCCCGCTAACGCGCTTATTCTTCCAAGACGTTCTTCAAGTCCTCCGAACGGGCAAAGTAAGAGTATCTCCACGTCGTCGACGGATATGAGGGACGGTAGCTACTATCTCGTGCGCCTAACTTCTCCACTGGTGGGTCAGAATCACCAGCCCCATAGCTCTTGGTGAAGGAAAGGGAAGACGTCCTTCGCCAGTTTTGGCTGCTTGAATGACGGGGTCGAGTGCGCTCACTGTGGTTTCCCACTCCAACAACACTCTTCCCTTTGACTTTTCGCTTCAACGCTTCTATCTCCACCGCCATCCTCCAGATGATGGCGTGTTAGTCTCTCAGCTTATGCTTCAAGCATTGAGCGTACGACTCTCTTCGTTGCCGGTGTCCGTTTGGACTCTGAGAGTGATCGGTGCTCCTGGTGCGCTTGTCTCGTGCATTTCTGGAAAGCCCTCTAGATGAAGTCTCCAGGCTTGCCATGTTCGGAACGGTGGGGGGTCCGTCTTTCCTTCGGACCGACTTTGGGGTGATGCCGTCAACGACGAACAGCGGAGTTTCGTCGTTGTTCACCATGAAAGATGATTGGATGAGCTTAGAGGACAAGGGTTTTGTCTGTCAAAGTTTTCCACAGACGCCGCCAATTGTACGGGAGCCAAATATTCGACATTATCCACACTCCTCGTGTCCAAGCTACGCTTCCCTTCGACTGACCTGAGAACACAAAGATGGTGAGCTACCCGGTGGGTGGTTGGCAGAAAGCCTCTTCAACGATCAAGTTAGCACACAGAGAGAGCAAGAAAGGAGAGAGAGAGAGGGGACAAAGTGGTAGGTGAGCTCTGATCAGAGAATGTTCCAAACCTGAATATGGAGGCGTAGCATTGTTTATATAGTTTCTGGGCGCGCCTTTGCGTCCATTCCCCTCTGGACGCGTGAACCTACTCTCCTTTCACGTTCTCCCACATGTCAGCGCTTATACAGCTAAACACCAAATGATGAAATCGCCAAACGGTACCGACGCATACGGACAATAAAATCTTCTTTCCTCAGTCCCATCACGTAGCATAATATTCCCCACCAAGGTACTCTTAGTGTGGCGTCATGCCATTACTTTACGACTATGCTACTTGTCTGGTTTCCTTAATAATTCCTCATCATGGGCTCAACCGAGCTCCCCAGTCACGACTGAGTTCCTGCTCAGTCGAACCTGATCTTCTGAGAACTAATCCTGTCCAACTCAGCAAAGCGCACATCTTCTCCGGGCTGGGATTCCAACGTTGTTCCAACACAATTGGACTGAGTCCTCAGTCCAGCGCGCACCCAACGTTTGACCGAGCAAAGACTCTGACTCCGGCCCAAACCAGCTAGGCCCAATATTAGGTCATAAACCTCCCTCTCACATGTCATTTTCTATTCAACAAAGTACATTTATAGATCATACTTGAATGTGTTGCATATCTTATTAATTTTAAATTTATACATTACACCTTATTTTCAAAGTATTTTTCCAAATAAAAAATCGAAATAGGTAGTATTTTTTATTCGTCCACATAATCAAATTAATTAGATTAATCAAGTTAGCTATATTACAGAAATTACAATAAAAATAATAATAATAATTCAATGTTTGAACAAATCAAACTCTTAACATTTTAATTGTTTCAATTTAAATTTAGAATTTTTAAAATTGCATAAATTCTAACTATCTGTCTATATGGGCAATTTAGACCAGAAGCAATGATAAAAACCAATTTAGACCAGAAGTAATGATACAAACCTCTAAAAATAGAGTTTTAAAAAGCTCTAGTGATATGACAAAGTAAAAAAATAAAAAAAAAATACAAGTCAAAACATCACACCACATAATGAGACCACTAAAACTCTTCCTCTAAAATTTCCAAATATTTTCCTTTAGACAAATAAGTCACTTTTATTTTCTCCCTTCAATACTATTAATAGCCACCTCCCACATTTGACGTTGATAATCACCGGGGCTTTTCCCAATATAAGCCATTTTTGTATTGTATTTCCAAAACTAGGCCAACTTCTGACGGAATTCCAAAACTAAGTTAAAGCGCCATTACTATTCGCGCTTTTACTGTTAGGACCGCAAAAGTAGGTGAACAGGAAAATCGCTATTACAAATAGCGACTTTGATTAATAAGTCGCTGTTACGAATAGCGCTTATAGTGTTATTCTTTTTCCCAATAAAAAATGCTGTTCTTAACAGCGCTTTTCACACAAAATTTTGTTGCCAAAAAAACATGTCATTTTCTATTCAACAAAGTACATTTATAGATCATACTTGAATGTGTTGCATATCATATTAATTTTAAATTTATATATTACACCTTATTTTCAAAGTATTTTTCCAAATAAAAAATCGAAATAAGTAGTATTTTTTATTCGTCCACATAATCAAATTAATTAGATTAATCAAGTTAGCTATATTACAGAAATTACAATAAAAATAATAATAATAATTCATTGTTTGAACAAATCAAACTCTTAACATTTTAATTGTTTCAATTTAAATTTAGAATTTTTAAAATTGCATAAATTCTAACTATCTGTCTATATGGGCAATTTAGACCAGAAGCAATGATATAAACCAATTTAGACCAGAAGTAATGATACAAACCTCTAAAAATAGAGTTTTAAAAAGCTCTAGTGATATGACAAAATAAAAAAATAAAAAAAATACAAGTCAAAAATATCACACCACATAATGAGACCACTAAAACTCTTCCTCTAAAATTTTCAAATATTTTCCTTTAGACAAATAAGCCACTTTTATTTTCTCCCTTCAATACTATTAATAGCCACCTCCCACATTTGACGTTGATAATCACCTCGCATATTTCTTAATTCGCGACGGTGTTACCCCTCAATCATTTTTTTTCATTCACCCACCCTCTTTCCTTTCCCAGCTTACCATTACCCTTCTCATTTCTTACTTAGTCCCTATCCACTTCATCATTAATAAAAAAAATTATTAAATTATTCCTTTTTTTATTTATTATTATTATTATTTTTTATGAGTAGTATTAATTGTTATCAGTCAAATTATTCCTTTATTTATTTATTATTATTATTTTTTTATGAGTAGTATTAATTGTTATCAGTCAAATTCTAAATTGTTTTTGTAATTTTCCGTTATATTATTTATCTTCTTAAAAAATGACCACTTTTATATTTGTAATTTATTTTAATGTTTTTTTAAAGTGAGCACCCATTTTCTATACCAAATTCCCTCAATCTCTCCTCCTCCCCCAAATCTGCAAAACCCTAGTTATATATCAACACCGACAATATCTCCAAACCTCTCACTCTTCAAATCAATCTCGATCCAAAGAATGGCCACAAAACCCTTTGAGGATTCCAATTCAAGCTCAAAAAATGGCATTGGCGTTGACGATTTGAAGCTCGGAGTGAGTTCTGAAGCAGCGATTGATGATTCAGTATCGAATTCAGATGCTGATGGTGGGTTAGGGAGTAGAGGGAAGAGAATTAAGGAAAAATTGGAGACAGAGCTGAGTCCTACTGAGTTGCAAGTCGAAGATGTATCGTATCAACACGCAGGGCATGCTGGTGTGAAGGGCAGTGATGGTGAGACTCATTTTAATGTGAAAGTGGTGTCAGTGGAGTTTGAAGGGAAGAGCTTAGTGAAGAGGCATAGGCTGATTTATGGGTTGTTGCAAGATGAATTGCAGAGTGGACTACATGCTTTGTCGATCGTTGCGAAAACACCATCCGAAGTTTGATAGTATGTGATGATTTCATGTATCTTATTTTTTTTTGGGTGGCAAGAAAAGCAAAGAACTTTCATTGCAATGACCAGTCCTCAGCTTTTCTTATGCAAGAAAATTCCTCATGATAATTGATAAGTTTTCATGATCACAGTTTGTTAATTTGTTGTTACTAGTTTTTGATTAAACAGACTGTTATGGGTTTTGGGATTCAGTGTTCATTGCCTTGGTTTCTTACTCTAGTTGTGTTGAAATTGAGCTTGATTGTATCATGGTTTTCACAGTGTAGCCGTTCGTGTTATGCTTACTTAGAGAATGATTGGATTCTATGCTGGTACGTGATGATTTTTTCTTGGAGGAAGTTCTTGTTTTTTGTTTGGGTGACAAGAAAAGCAAAGAACTTTCATTGCAATCACCTAGAGGAAAGGAATAGAGGTCCCTGGTTCAGACAAAGTCCAGTCCTTTGATTTTCTTGTGCAAAAAAATTCCTCGTGATAATTGATAAGTTTTCAAGATCATAGTGTTTTAATTTGTTGTTAGTAATTTTTTATTTAATAGACTGTTATGGGTTTTTGGATGCAATTCGTTGCCTTGGTTTCTTACTCTAGTTGTGTTGAAATTTAGCTTGAATATATTATGGTTTCATAGTGTGGCCAGTAGTGTTATGCTTGGTTAGAGTATGGTTGGATTCAATGCTGGGAGATAGGTTGTAGGTGTGAGTAAAGAGAAAATTGCTTCACATCTTATCGATATTGCAAGCTTTTCTTGTGGTTGTGGTTCTTATTTTTGTGTAGATAACATCTCCACAAATAACTGCGCAATCAGTAGCTTGTGTTTGGTGCTGTGTGTGTTTTTGGTGACTAACAAAGGACTAATACCCGTAGGCAAAATCCCATATTTGATGTTTAATGGCTCGTTTTATTCAATAGGTTGCAAATCAACCTTACTGAATGATGAAAACCGATCAACATTTAGAGCTTCTAGAACAATTCACCGGGTAGGCTCTGGTGCATCTAAATGTGACATACCTTTTGAAGTTCACCGCTTGGATTTGCAATAGGCGAAGTCCAGTTCAATCATCTTGGATGACAAATTTGGATCATCTTTATGCTTTTGATTCACTGAAAGATTGAAACTGTCAATTCTTCCCCATAGGGGTTAAATGCATTATAGTCTCAATGTTATTGGTTTTTTTTTTTTTGGTGTGTGTGTGTGTGGCTCCCGTTGGTTAAGGTTGTTGAGCTTCAATCAACTCATATTGGGAATTTGATTGCTGGGAGATAGGTTGTAGGTGTGAGTAAAGAGAAAATTGCTTCACATCTTATCGGTATTGCAAGCTTTTCTTGTGGTTGTGGTTCTTATTTTTGTGTAGATAACGTCTCCACAAATAACTGCGCAATCAGTAGCTTGTGTTTGGTGCTGTGTGTGTTTTTGGTGACTAACAAAGGACTAATACCCATAGGCAAAATCCCATATTTGATGTTTAATGGCTCGTTTTATTCAATAGGTTGCAAATCAACCTTACTGAATGATGAAAACCGATCAACATTTAGAGCTTCTAGAACAATTCACCGGGTAGGCTCTGGTGCATCTAAATGTGACATACCTTTTGAAGTTCACCGCTTGGATTTGCAATAGGCGAAGTCCAGTTCAATCATCTTGGATGACAAATTTGGATCATCTTTATGCTTTTGATTCACTGAAAGATTGAAACTGTCAATTCTTCCCCATATGGGTTAAATGCATTATAGTCACAATGTAATTGGTTTTTTTTTTTTGGGTGTGTGTGTGTGGGGCTCCAGTTGGTTAAGGTATTGGGAATTTGATATCACAGACTTTGGCGTTGCATAATCTTCTTCCTCCTTGAAAAGAAATAATGAAGTTTGATATGAATCATGATCCTAGCTTTGAAGATCCTGGATCAAGCTGCATACTTTTTAGATAAGTTTTGTCCATTTAATAGATATAATGTACAAGTTAAAAGTGGAATGTACAACACATCATTATTGAATTGAATAATATTATTGAAAACTTAATCAATAAGAAATGGCATAGAATACAATCTCGTACTATTTGTTGATTCCTTTGTGTCACTGACTAGTTCTTCCACCCAATATCTTTCTCCTGTCAATCTAGTTATCCTTGTTTTAAACAAGGAACACTGATAAACATATACATTTTGTTTGTTTTGGCCAAAAAAAAATTTTGGAAAACATTTTTTGCATTTTCTAGTGTTTGCTACTACGAAAAATGAAAGCTTGTGGTCAATGAAAACAAGATTATTTGCGGTGAAAACATTTTCTACTTTTGACGGTGAAAAACATCTTTTGAACTTAGGCCTTACAAATGCCACGACACCCCACCACGACTACCACCACCCCCACTACCACTACCACTAATGCAACCACTAGCAAATTAGTTTCAAAGTTGCAACCAAACATAGGATAATTATGGAGAACATTTTGTAGAAAACAAAGCTACAATGTAAAATGAAGCTCTTTGGCTGTGTTATTTGATTCTGCAATTGTACAAGAACATCCCTTGTGAAGGTACAATACAAAAAGAGTTGTATACACACCATCAGATACGTGAAAATTGCCATTTAGACAAAAACCTGAACAATTTGGGTGAAAGAAAACGGAGAAAACAGAGGAAACAATACATGTTCTGCATTTTCATCTCTTGGTTCTACAATTCCGGCCAAGCAAAACACCTGTAGGTGGACCAGTCATCTCTAATTGGCATCGTCCGTGCAACCAATAAGAAAAATGAAGCAGACCCAGGTTAGCTCTCACTCTGAAAGTTCCTCTTATATTATACATGATTCTGTTTCTCTGTACCTGCTTTTGAAGGTCTAGCGCCATGTTTGGGGGCAAATAAACCAAGCTTGATGTCATGTGAACCGATACCAGTCTTGCTTCCCCTTGTCTCTGCGTGAAAGGCTGCAGTGCTTGAGTTGCTATGAGACTGTCAAAAAAGTAGAGCTCGATTTCTACGTACTCAAATCTCACTTCAAGTTTCCGACTCGGGTTGGAGAAATTCGCAACGAAGGTGAAATCACCATTGAAATACTCCGGCGAGTCAAAGTAGATGGCACTGAGGCTTGCAATTGGGGTATCAAATGCCGGGATTCTTGGCTTGATGACGAGATAGACTATCAAAGTTCCGACTCCGAAGAAGATGAGCAGGAGGCTGAAGATTAAACAGAGGATTGCACCACACCACACTATTAAGTTTGTCCGGCGAGGTTGCCGGAGCACCGGTTGCTCATTGGCTTTTGTTAAACTGACATACGGCATGTTCGGTGCCGGAATTTGTTGATTCGTGGCTGGTTTTGATACTACAATTTGATTGAGTGGAGTGGCCATGGTTTGCTTTTGGGATTGTGGAAGAGAAAGCATTTTGGGAGAATTATTATGAAGGAAAAAAACAGTGAAGTAATCAGGGCGATGAAATGAAATTACTGTATAAATAAACTGTGAAGTGGATGGACTTATTAAAATAAATAAATAAAGTAAAAGAGAAGGGAAGAATAAAAAAAAAAAAAAGAAGAAGAAGCTTTTGTTGATTGAGAGGAATGGGACCAATGTGTTGTTTTGAAATTCACAAAAGGAGTTTGGGGCTGGATTAAAGTTGAGTGTATCATATAGGTGTTCTTGGGTTTTGAATTGTTTTGCTTTTCTTGCTTGAGAAAGGGCAAAGCTCCAAAATATAGGTGTTATACAAATAAATAATTCTTTAATATTTTTTTTATTAATTGATGTGATACTTGTCATGTTAGTGTGCCTGTTTGATAGAAATTATTTACAGCTTATTTTAACTTTCAGCTTAATTTAAGCTATTTTGATGTGTTTGGTTTAACTTATAGCTTATAGCTTATAGCTTTGTGGAAGTCAGAAATCAACTTATTCTTTGAGTAGGGCAGGAGATGCTTTAAGAATAAGCTGGAAATCAGTTTAAGCTGAAAGTTATAAGTTATAAGCTGTTTAGGCATAAGCTATAAGCACTTTCCCACAGCTCTACCAAACAGGGCTAGTATATTAAGTCTTACTTTAAATTCTGAAATTTTATTGTTATTTGACAAGTCAGTAAGAAAAAAAATAGAACTGTATTCAGTATATTTGCTCCAAAATCAAAAGGAGTAATACTTTATTGAATTTCTCTTGATATGGTGGGTATTTGACCGAACACATCATTATTGGCTTTGATTTCATTGTATTGTGGTGAATCCAACAGAGTAAGGCTTGCCATTTTGACTGAAACTATTATTTTATGTTTGTGCTAATGCTTTCAGTAAGAAATTGTTGAGCAGGAATTTAGACCTTGTGCCCTGATAAAAATGTAATCTATGGCAAAGCACAATATTATGCTTTCATTTTTTTATTGGTTTTCATATTCTTTTCTTTTAAAATTACAAACGAAAATTTGTTTAATATATTGATTTTGTTTTCAAAAACAAATTGAATTGATTTATTTATTTATTTTTTAATTTTGGATATGAATATAAAAAAAAGTACTTTTAGCCATTTTCAGAACAATTTTTTACTTTCTAATCTCTCTGCCACCAATAACTGTTGTCAATCGGTGAACTGTTAACAAGTTCTAGCCATCTTTTAGTGACACTGTAATAACTAACTCTAATGACCACTTCTAACCGCTCCCACGGTCGATCACCACATTTGTCCACCCATCACTATCAGCGGCCACCTCTAACAACTCACTAAACATGTACTCTATTTTTATTATCATTTATTTTCAAAATATTTTTATATATGAAAACAAATTTCTATTTGTTAAATAAATACTTATTTTCAATTTTTTTAAAACCAGAAAAGTGACTATTGGTTTTGATTCTACAGTATATTTATTTATCTTTCAATGCTTTGGTGCTTAAATATTCCTTCAACCGACCGAAACCGAACCGCTTGCTCTTTCTCTTCTTAAGCCTCACTGCCGCCGCGTCGCCGCCACTAACCCTAGCCCATAATGGCGTCCGGCGACTTCCGGTAACTGGACGCCGGTGGAGTATATATAGGCCACACACCATCTATGTCTTCTAATCACCTCGATGTTATGCAAATCAAACAAGTCGGCGATGGAAATAATTCTCAATTTCGTCTACATGGCTATCAGCCAATCCAGTTCAATCTTCATCAACACAAGTAAAAACTCGCAGTAACGTATATTTGATTAATATATTCGGTTTATTTTTAGAAGAAGCATGAATTCACTGTTAGCTTGTTGATATATCAATTTGTTCATTTGTAGTTCTAATTGCATCAAATTTACTTTTGAATTTTTTAAATTGTGTCAAATTTAGTTCATTTGATAGCTACCTTTTGACAATTGGATTGAAGTTAAGGGTAAATTATTAGGAATTTGATATAAGGGCACTTTCATACCCCCATAATGCGGAAAAAATAAACTAAATTTATTAGAATGATATGTTTATGTCATTTGTGAAATTACAAAAATAATAGTAGATGTTTTTATTGAAAACGAAGGAATGACAATATTCCAACTCAATGTGTATTATTATTATTACTCCTTTTTTAAAACTTCATATAAGGGGTTCTTTTTGAAAAATTAAAAATATTAGGTACCTTAAAATAATTTAGGAGGGTTACTAACATAATTTTATAAGGTATATATTACAGATACTTTTTGGCTCCATCCCTGCTACAATCATTCTCTTCAAGTTAAATGAAACTATAACACTCCGTTTGGATCGTGACCAAACACACACACACACACACAGTGGAAAAAAAAAGGTTAAAGACTGCGAGTATAATTTGCGTAATTTTAAATATTATGGACAAATTTATCTTTTACACTCTTTAATGACTCAACATTCCTCTACAAAATGTGATATGGTTATTAGAATGTGTGATAATCTGTCACCTAGATTGATAACTTGAATCACATTACACTTTAGACAGAACTATGATTAGGTTTAACAGGGAGTTCCTACTTCCAAGGACTCCAAACGATCTTTCTTTTGGCCAAGATTGAGGCTTTGACGACTTATTCAGTAAACACATAAAATTTTCCATATTGACAAGTTCCTATGAAGTATGGACCCTCTTGTCAACTTGTGAAAGTTGTACACAAGTCTAATGTTTCCAAGTTATTTGTTTTCATATTCATTTCTTTTAAAATTACAAACGAAAATTTGTTTAATATATTGATTTTGTTTTCAAAAACAAATTGAATTGATTTTTTTTTTTATTTATAAATTTCGGATATGAATATAAAAAAGGGTACTTTTAGCCGTTTTCAGAACAATTTATCACTTTCTAATCTCTCTGCCACCACTAACTATTGTCAATCGATGAACTGTCAACAAGTTTCAGCCATCTTTTAGTGACACTGTAATAACTAACTCTAATGACCACTTCTAACCACTCCCACGGTCGATCAGCACATTTGTCCACCCTTTACTATCAGCCGCCACCTCTAACAACTCACTAAACATGTTCTCTATTTTTATTATCATTTATTTTCAAAATATTTTTATTTTAAAAAATATTCGGAGCTTTGAAAATATTTTTATATATGAAAACAAATTTCTATTTGTTAAATAAATACTTATTTTCTATTTTTTTAAAACCAGAAAACTGACTATTGGTTTTGATTCTACAATATATTTATTTATATTTCAATGATTTGGTGCTTAAATTTTCCTTCAACCGACCGAAACCGAACCGCTTGCCCTTTCTCTTCTTAAGCCCCACCGCCGCCGCGTCGCCGCCCCTAACCCTAGCCCATAATGGCGTCCGGCGACTTCCGGCAACTGGACGAGAAGTCTCCGGTGGAGTATATATAGGCCACACACCATCTATGTCTTCTAATCAACTCGATGTTATGCAAATCAAACAAGTCGGCGATGGAAATAATTCTCAATTTCGTCTACATTGTTATCAGCCAATCCAGTTCGATCTTCATCAACACAAGTAAAAACTCGTAGTAACGTATATTTGATTAAAATATTCGGTTTATTTTTAAAAGAAGCATGAATTCACTGTTAGCTTCTTGATATATCAATTTGTTCATTTGTAGTTCTAAATGCATCAAATTCACTTCTGAATTTTTTAAATTGTGTCAAATTTAGTTCATTTGATAGTTACCTTTTGACAATTGGATTGAAATTAAGGGTAAATTACTAGGAACTTGATATAAGGGGCACTTTCAAAACCCCATAATGGGGAAAAAAAAAATTAAATTCATCAGAATGATATGCTAATGATATTTGTGAAATTACAAAAATAATAGTGAATGTTTAGGGTTGTGCACAAAATCGCTCCGAATTGAGGTTTTTTTTTTCAATTCTGGCAAGCAGTTGGGTGGGTTGAGATGCCAGGACTAGCAGGTTAGTGCAGGTGGCGGTTTGAAAATACCAACCCATTGAAAAAATCGACCCGTACCGCCACTTTGCTAAAACATTTTCCCCTGCCAGTGTATATACATCCAGGTTACATTTCCAACCATTAGATTATTTTTCTATGATACATGAAGGTGGTTTTCATGTACCATACATAAATAAACTTGGACCATTAGATCTAAAAGTAAAATAAATCTAACCATTGATTGGTAATAATTAAAACCAGGTTAAGAAATCTTGATAGTTTCGTAAAAAATAAGGTAGTTTTTGAAACCAAAAAGTGGTTTTCAACTTACCACAATAACTAAGTGTACTTACTATTTGATATGATTATACTTACTATTTCTAATAACTATACTTACCATTCAATTATTAATAAAATACACTTAACCTTTTATTCAGGTAATAGGTAAATTTAAAAAATTAAGTTATAATAAATTTTCAAAACTTCTAAAATAAATATAAAATTTACAAAATAGAATTTAAGAAAGAAATATACAAAATAATTGTGAATTTTATACATTTTATTATAATTTATTACATTTTATGAAATATGATTTTTTTAAATTTATTTATTCATCTACTTAATGGCAATAAATGAAACCTAGTTTCCTTTTCATTTACCACACTTGAAAATAATAAATGTAATTAATAAAATATAGGAAATTTTAAAATTTATTTGAGGATTCCATGAACAAAATTTTGTGTTTATTTTTAAAAATTTTGAATATTTGAAGATTTGAAGATAAGATTGTTGTTGATTTGGAATTCTTTAGGTAAGAATCTATCTCTATTAGGGGTGGGGCGGGTCGGCTGCGGCCACAAAACTTCCAATCCGCCATCCGTCCATCATATTGGCAGATTGGAAAAAATCAATCCACATCCGTCCGCCAATCCGGCGGATGTGAATTGAGTGGA